GTATAAATAACTGATGGATTAGTTCTAGTTATTAACTAAATATCTTTGTAGCTCCTCTTTGGGATATATACAGTCATTAATCTGGTATGTTACCATAAAAAGCTTTGTTCTCTGAAAAGTATTATTCTGCCTAATTTACAAAGTGTGATCAAAACATATTAGTGTTTAAATTTTTAAAGTATTGGAATAAAAGGCAATTCTCATAAGCCCTTTCAGAATACTCTCCCTTGTTTCAAACATATTTATCCCATTGTCCTCACCAATTTCTGAATCAGTTTTGGAAGTTCTCTTTTGCAAGTTTCTTCAATTGCACTCATTTATTTATTTATTTTTTCTTTTCATTTTTTATGTATTTGGTACAGGGTCTCATTATATAGCTTAGACTCATAGTGATCCTCCTGTTACAGCCTCCCCAGCACTAGGACTCTCCTGGCTCAGTATGCCTCAGGAGCGGGGCCAGCACGGCATGCGGGACTGGGGATCAAATCTGGTTTCCTGCACTTGCCAAAGCAGCCACTTAGTCCACTGAGCTGTCTCATCTTAAATTACACTCTTATGGCTCCCTCAGTGTGCTAAACTGATTCATACATTTACATTTAGCTTTAGGGAACTGCCAAAGTTGCATGGTCTCCAGTCCATAAGGCAGAGGAAGACACACCAGTGTTTCACAAGCTTACCTTTCCATTGAGGTACTTAGCTGCAGCGTTCAGTATATTTTGTAATCATGCCTTAGAAGATAGTCACAGAAGAGGGCTTCTAGAATTGGCTTAGAGAGTACCAAGAATAATAGAATAAGTATGTTTCAAATCAAGGAGGACTAATGGCAGTTTGTCTTTTGCTGCAATATTTTTTTGTAAAAAAATTAAAGTCGCCATATATTCTGATCATATTGTATATATACATGGAGGAAGTACTTTTCATCCTTTCTCAGCTCTTTTTTTCTTTTTTTAATGTAGCCCAGGATGGCCTCTGACTGACAATTCTCGTGCCATAGCTTTGTGAGTGCTGGGATTACAAGCATGCCTATTCATTCATGCCTGTCTGGCCTATTCATTCTCTAGGCATTATTAAATAAGGTCATTCATAAGCAGATTCCTACAGAGAAATTCTTCTCTCCTAGTCTCATCTCTTCATGATATAGTAATTTTAAGTTCTTTTACAATCTTTCTTATTAGAAGTTAAACTTATACACATATAACTATTGGTGAAGTAAGGACCTTGAAATTGGTGTCAAGGTAGGAGTTTTTTTTAAGTCAAGTTTTACATTTATTAAAGATGGGAAGAGAAGTATGCTCTGTAGAGTAAGTGTAGGCCAACTGAAGGTAGGAAAAGAAGTATACTCTGCAGAGTGCAGAACAGGCCACTGAAAGGACTTACAGTGAGTGGCCACAAGGTTAATGGCTGCTGTCTTTTTTTATCTTCCCTTCCAATGTTAAATCTAGGCTGTCATATGAAAAATCCATTTAATTTCATGCCAGAAGAACTGAAGATAGCTTTCTGTGATTGGGCCCAGGTGCAGGGCTTGGACACATGGTGTCCTGAATCTCTGATTGATAGGTCATGCCCAGTTTCCCATCTGGCTGGCTGCGCTCTAATCTCCTGCCTCATTTCTCCCTGAGAGACAAATTCCTGTAAATATTTATAGGTTGCTGAGGGTGTGGTAGTCTCTGCCTTCATATAGCTACTTCTAGCTGAAAAGGGCTATAGGCTCTGCCTACTGGGAAGTATGTTCTCTACACCTACCTTGGGATGTTGTGGTTTACCAGCTGGACTGCAAAAAAACTGTCAGAAGACAAGTGAAAAAAGAATATGCATATATAGAGATGAGGAGGAAGGTTGGTAAATTTGTCCAGAGTTTTGGGCTGTAGTCTCAATCTTCATTTAAAGCTTTAAACAGGGCTGGTGAGATGGCTTGGTGGTCTAAAGCACCTACTTAGAACAAGCTAAGCTAAGCAGAACACAGGGACCGCGGTTCAATCCCCCAGCACCACATGCCAGCCAGCCCCGCCCCCTGGTGGGCTGAGCTGGCCACACACAATAAATAAATAAATAAATAAATAAATAAATAAATAAATATTAAAAAAATAAAAAAATAAAGCTTTAAACAGATAAACTTTACTGTTGGGGTTATAAAGCCCAGATATGAGCAGTTCAGAATATTGCCTGGTCTGTCTGAAGTGGTAGGCTATGATATAGATGTAGCTATTGAGGATTTCTTTGCTTCCTGTCAAGGAGAAAATACTGCAAAGAAGATGAAACTACCAAGAGCCCAAGACTTGTGGCCCCACATAGCAAGGTTACCCGGGTTATGGATTTGAGTAAAAACAGGAGCCCTAATACAGGTGGCCATTAAAGCGGTGGTGGGTTAAGGATCATCAGTGATTCTACTTAGCTCTACTCAGAAGAATACTGGAGTCTCGAGTATTGAAGAGAAGCTTTAGGTCTTCCAGAGATTGACAAGAATGGGTTGTCTTTTTTTCTTCAGGTGAACATGAATTTATCCTCCTGGTTCATGTTAGCAAAACTTTGTTTGCTATCAGAGGTTAGGGTGCTATAGGACCCTTCTAGAAATTCTTATCCTGAACAAAGAATTAGTGAAGATGAATACAAACAGTAGCAAGATTTTACATTTATTAAAGACAGGAATAAAGGTGTGCTTTCCAGAGTTGAGTGCAGGCACCTGAAAGGGTAAATTTTTTTTAAGAGGAAAGGACTCCTCTGAAATTTAAAGTAACTTATTTGCTGATACACTGACATGAGATGCTGGAAGGCAGGAGAGAACTTATTTCCTTAAAATAGAAAAATTCGTTTTCCCTTGCTTTATATTTAAAGTGTTGTTTTTTAATTGCTTTATTAATCCTTTTGGAAATATCACAAAGATGGACATTTATTTTCTTCAAATGAATACCAAAAATGGTCTAAATCCAGGGAGATGACATTAGTCTGAGGAGAGAATATTTAGGTTTTATAAATGTAGGCTGAATATCCCTTGTCTGAAATGTGTGAGACTAAAAAGTGTTTTTGATGGCAGGGTTATTTCAAATGTTGTAATATTTATATAGACTTACTCAGTTAAACACCCATTATTTAAAAATCAAAAACTTTTTAAGTGTCTTGTGAACACTGAAACAGGCTGGATTTCAGAACATTTTAGATTTCACATTTTCAGATTAGGGATGTTCATGCCAGCCCTTTGTGTACAAGTATTATATATTTTAAGTAATTGTGTGCAGAGGTTTTAGATAGCCAGGTAGACCTATAGATGCAATAAAAATAGGCTTTTGTAGTATAGATTCTATAACCTAACTTACAAATAGTGCAATGTACCATCTTAATTCAGTTTTTAGCTTGTTTTGTCACTGTATTTAAAAAACTTGATACTTTTCTAAAAGTTAGATTTCATTTTGAAATATACCAGTGGCAATGATGTAATACTTTTCTGTAGTTTTATTCTGATTTGATTTGTTGCTTTTGATTTAGTTGTGCACATTTCTCAGGTATAAGTGTTTATAGAATTTGTTTCTTAAGACAATTAAAACATTCAAGAAACTTTCAAAAGACAGACAAATTTAAATAGTAGAGATGCCATTCATAAACTGAATGCTTTTTCTCATTATGTTCCCATTCAGCAACAAGGCAAGGCAATACTTGTTATTTCAGAGTAGCAGTTTATGGTCTTTATCCTAAAATCTTTTACTTATCACAAAGTTCTTTAATGATCCTTATTAATATTAAACAAATATCTTATAAATTTATATTTCCTTTTCCATCTTACTTAGAAATTTTCCTCTTCATTACATAGTATCCAGTATTGGGGGGGATTACCACTAATAATATTAAAATTTTTACAGTATTTCAATGCCAAGAGGATTGCATGCTCTATAGGGTAAAAATGGATCTAACTCAGAAGTTTAATAACTGAGAAAATTTATTGGATTGAGATATATAAAAACAACATGGCAAAAATGTTTACTAAAACATTTGAAAAATTATCAGTGCTTGCTGGAACTTCTGAATCTCACCTAATTGGATACATTTATTCAAAAACCATCCAAACTCATATTCATATATGTATATATATATTAAAGACCTCTTTATAAAGAAGAAATTTAGGGTTATAATTTAGTAGTAGGGGAACATTATTGACAGAGTAAGCCTTATTAAACTCTAGAGAATTAAATACTGTAACTTTATGGGTATCTTCTGGTACTGACTACTGACCTGTTGGCTTTTTGGGGGGCTTGGGGAAGGATATATTAAGAGTCCTGTGAAGTTTTGTTAATTTTCTTACTGCCGACATCTTAGATTTTAAGTAATAATAAAAGTCAGTTGTGTAACATTATAAATCAACCTTTGAAGTTCCCCACAGCTCCAAAATACTGTATATAGTTTTTTTGTTTGTTTGTTTTGTTTTTTTTGGCCAAGAAAGTGAAATTTTCTGAGAAATAGCTTAATAAAGGACTGAGCAGATGGTGGGGAATTAAAGGGCATTACAATAGGAAGAGTTTTAATTGAGTTTATTGGTAGCCATCTACATGTTCATAGGCACCATTTGCTCTTTAGATCACATTTTTTTATCTTTTAAAAATACTATATTTTACTATTAGATTATTCACATAAATCAGTTGCCTCAGGCAAAACTAGGAATACAAAAGTAAATTAAAAGTAGATTTAATATTCTGTACTCCCAGGAAGGGTCATCTCTGACAGACTAGTGATGTAATTATAGAAATGTGTGAATAATATATTTGTACAAATCATTTTTTTCATCTTAGCTTATTTGAATTTGAAGGTTTTCTCGGATTCGAAGCATTTATGGGTTCATGTGGTCTTTGTTTTAGACTTAATAACTTTAGTGTTTATTTCCTTACTTTCTTGGCTGCTCAGTTAATAGTTACAAAAAGCTCATAAAATTGGAGACAGTGGCACATGCCTATAATCCCACCTACTTGGGAAGCTGAGGCAGAAGGATCACAAGCCTAGGCCCAGCCTGAAAATGAAAAGGAATGAGGATGTGATAGTGTTTTCCTGGGTTCTATCTCCAGTATAGCTTTAAAAAATAAATAAATAAATAAATAAATAAATAAATAAAGCAAGCAACTGTGTGGTTTTTCTTTGGCTATTGAGATTTGGCATTTAAACTCTAGCCCAGGGATTAAAAATTTTCCCCAGACAAACAGCTATTGGCTTATTAAAAATGCCAGTTCTTAAGCCTACTCTAAAACTACTAATTCAGAAACCCAGAGCATGGGACCCAACCATTTGTTTCGTAAAAGCTCCCAAAACTATTCTGATGAACAGTTAAAGTGTGATGACTATTGTCCTACACTAGCACAGGTCTTAAAATTATCACTTTTTATAATCATGTTACAACAGCTGTCTTTAATAGTAAATTAAACACTCATCAATTCAGTAATCCATTCTTTAAAAATGTTGAAGGCAATAGTTAAGGAAAAATCTAGGGAATCCTAATGTGATTGTAGTTGGTAAAAGGGGGAGGTACCTACTTTGTAGAAGGGCTTAGGGTTTCTATATCAGGTAAGTAATTCTTGTCCATAAACTACATACTGTGTATTATCCCTTTATTTAATGTTATAATATGAGGGAAGAGATGTTTAGAGATACTTTTTTGAAAAATTTCAGAACTCTTGGACTCAAAGATTGAAAATACAAATCAAGTGGGGATAATTTTAGGATGTTGCATTCTAAAAATAATGAAATTTTATGTTTTCTTGAAAGGTTTTTTTCTTTTTTTTTTTTTAAGTACATTGTCCCACTTTAAAAGTAAATAAATCTTTATTTACAGACAGTCCCTGGGTCTCCGACCCCAATATTCCCCTAGTGGCCCGTGAGATCATGCAGCGAATGATCCAACAATTTGCTGCTGAATATACCTCAAAAAATAGCTCTACTCAGGACCCCAGCCAGCCCAATAGCACAAAGAACCAAAGCCTGCCGAAACCATCTCCAGTCACCACCTCTCCCACGGCTGCAACTACTCAGAACCCTGTGCTCAGCAAACTTCTCATGGCTGACCAAGACTCACCTCTGGACCTTACTGTCAGAAAGTCTCAGTCAGAACCTAGTGAACAAGGTATGGTTTAATGTTATAGTCTCCTGTATCCAATCAGAAAATTTCTAATTTGGGGAGAAAAAAGTATTGGCAAGTAGGGCACCAGTAGGAGTAATAGAATTGAAAACTAACATTCTAGTTACACAAGGCAATCCTTACACCTACTCAGGAGGCTGAGTCAAGAAGATCACGTGCACCCAAAAGTTTGAAGCCAGCCTAGACAACACAGTAGGATCATGTGTCTTTAAAAGAAAAGAAAGCGGCAACACTAGTGCAATTGCTAAATTATTTCTGTTCATACAGTAGTGGAAAAGGATAGTCATTAAACTTTACCCATCAGTAGTTAATAGCCATGATTACAGTATTCCACCCTGGGAATTCAGGTAGTTAATTGTTACTAATTTCTAGATTCCATGATACTAATATGAGCAGTTTGCACTTTCTAAAATATTATATATCCATTTTTTAAAAATCTATGAAAAACTAAGTTTATCCTTTGTGTTCTATAATTAATACCTACCCAGAAAATAGGCTTTTACTTATTAAGTTGAAGTTACACTTGCAAATGAAGTCAAAAGCAAAAACATATTTTACCCATTTTTTCTGCAATTAAAAAACAAAAATCTGCCAAGGTAAGAACACAAAGTAAAAGCCAGGCATGGTGGCACATACCTTATACCTATGATTCCACTTGAAGGCTGAGGCAAGAGGACTCCCATCAGTTTGAGGCCAGCCTGTACTACAGAGTGAGTTCGAGCCAAAAAATAAATATATTCAAGGTTTTATAAATGCAGAAATGCATACATAGACATATGTATTATTTTATGAACTTTCCTTAAAATATTTTCAAAATGGAGTTTCTGAGACTCCAAATTAGTGAAAAGGTTGACATTATCCAGTGCTACTTAACAAGTTTCTTGAGTCTCTGAAGTGTAGCTTAAGTAAATTAAATGTTTCTGTTACATTGTGGTCCCATCTGACCTTTATTACACAAAAATGCAGTATTTCAACACTCTTTGAACTTCTGCAAATAACTGTAAATTAGTGACATCTGCAGTAAATGAGTTTTTTGTCATAGAAATCCCAAGGTTATGAAATATGTGAACCTAATCGTTGAAATACATGTTTATTTTGAAAAGAAAATGTAATTCTCAAGAACCTCCTTTTTTTTTTTTTTTTTTTTTTTTGGAACTAGAGATTGAACTCAGGCCCTTGCGCTTGCCAGGCAAGCACTTATTCTACTGAGCCATCTCCCCGGCCCCTTCAAGAACCTCTTTGAAGGGGCCCTTACAAGTAATGTGTAAAGATTTTACATTTAGTGGACTGTCTTTAGTTTCTCATTAAAGAATGTTCAGTACTTTTGAGAGTTCACTGCCTTGTCTCCCCCACCCTTTTTGGTGTGGTGAACAGCAAGCATAGTATCTAAATTCTGAGAAATTTTCTGGTAGGAGGTCTGCTAATTGCCTGATGAAGTTGATGCTGGTATTTCTGATAACCATATTTTAAGAGTTGTGTCATTGTAGAGTTTTATTTAGGATTGTTTTCCTTGCCATGTATCCATAGTTTTGATTAAAAATCTCTAAATATTACATCAAGTTGGGTGTGGTGGCACACACCTACAGTCCTAGCACTTGAGAGACTGAGGCAGGAGGATCACTACAAGTTGTTAGGCAAGCCAGTTTGAGTTCAGGAATAAATTAAAGAGCTACATTAATTATTTTTCTTTTTTTCTTTCTTTTAAAGAAGTGTGATCATACTGTATTGTCTAGGCTGAGATAGTGTTTTAAAGGCTAGCCTGAAACACTTAGTGAGGCGCGGTCTTAAAAAAAAAAAAAAACCAAAAAACCCAGAATCCAACAGTAAGTATTACATCAAAAGTTTCAGGTTTATAATAGGAATATAGTAGCACAAAGGTTTTTAATAGTAGTGGAAGTCAACACACCGTGATTCCACTTAGTCTTGTTTAACTTCTTATAGCTAGTATTATACTTAAAAATGTTGTATTGACAACATCCTCTTAATAAGAGAAATTTGATAGCACTAGAAGATAGACTTCAGAGAAGCGCTTATTCCACTGAGCCAGCTGCCTAGAGGATAGACTTCAAATGAAGCCTAAAACATTTAAAATAGTTTCTTAATGAATTTTAGGGAATTTAGCCTGTCACAGTATTTTAATAGTAGAATTAATTTTTTTTTTCTATTTGATAAGACTTTGGCTCTTTGATTTAGAAGTCTCTAAATAATACTATCTTCAGTTGGAAGTACCTTATGTGGAGTGAGTGCCTTTGCTCTTCAGAAGTCTAATTAGGCTAGATGTCTAGTGCAGCGCTTGGTTGTATAAGGTTGTAATTCTGTTTGTACAAATAATAATGACTTTAAAGGGCAAAGCTTTTCCCATGTAAGAGTGAGCTTTTTTAATGTATAAATTCCTTCTATATTTCTAACGATCTGAAGTCAGGAATTACAATGTTCTAGGGACAAGTAATAAGTAGGTTCTTTTTTGGGTTGAAATTAACACAGCTAGACAGTAAGACCATTCTCTTGGCCATCTAAAATTCACACACATTGCTTGTGTCTTGCTTTGTTAATTTTAGATGCAGTGACAGCTTTACAAAGTTGTCCAGACCAGTGGGCATAGTGGTACATGCCTATAATCCTAGCACTCTAGGAGGCTGATATGGGAGAATGGCAGATTCAAGCCCACCTCAGGCAGAGTAGCGACTTATTAAGACCCTAACTCCAAGAAGGTGCTGGGGATGTAGCCCAGTGAGACTGAGACAGAGAACTGCAAGTTTGAGCCAATCCTGGGAATTCAGTGGCACATTGAGAACCTGTCTCAAAATAAAAAGGGACTCAGCTACAACTCACCTCAGTGTCAAGGCCTTGTGTTCAGTTCCATATACCACCACTACCACCACAAAAAAAATGTCTCCAGACATAAGATTTCTTTCTAGATATATTTATAAGGGTCTTCTAATTTTATGTATTAATAACATGAATTTGTGATTTGATATAGCGTCTAGGTTATATTTTCAAGCTTTTACCTATATCAGAACTATTTTATTATATAACATTATCCACCAGTTTTTTGTTTTTTTTTTTTGTTTTGTTTTGTTTTTTTGGCTGGCTTGAGTTGTGGGGATCGAACCACAGCAACCTGAGCCTGACTGCTTTGTTGAAGCAGCCACTTAAAGAACTGAGCTAAGGGGCAGGCCCCCTATCCACCAATTTTAATACCTTCTTAAATTTAAAAATGCCTTTATGAATTTCAGCAGTTGAGTATTCTCTGTAAATTTTTTGAAATGTGAAATCCATATAACATTTTATCAGCTGTATCTAAAGAATAATTTGGGTGCACACAAATTATAAACCATTAACAGCCGATTCACCTTATGGACTATCCTGTTTATTGTATGCATGTAATTTAATCATCTTAACTCATATTGTAAAATTTTTACCTTATTTAAAATGTTCTACTTTCAGCTTTAGAGTTTCAGGTAGATTTAACTTGTGGATACAAGAGTATGGAATTATAGTTTGTATGACATTGTGGGATGTAAAACCCCATAGATTTAAATCACAGTAAATGTAGAAAATGAAATTAATAAATTCTAGAGCAACATCTCATGCAGTGTAAACTTTTTCCAGTATTTCTCTCATTATATCTTAGCATTGTCTGTAAGATCTCTGATCTCTTTTTCCCTATTAATGAAATATTTAATCCTTGGAGAAACTGGATATATGATGCTTTGCTAAATTTATATTGTTTCAGGAAGAAAAATATCTTGACTTTTACATTGAACTTAATTTACTAACTCATATATGATGAATGTATTTAGTTGAGTAGGCCTAGGCGTTTTCATTTTTAGCCTGTTCATTTTACATTTGCTCCAGTTTTTAATGTCATCAGGTGTTTCTTTGTGTCTCTACAGACGGTGTACTTGATCTTTCCACTAAGAAAAGTCCATGTGCTGGCAGCACTTCCCTGAGCCATTCTCCAGGCTGCTCGAGTACTCAAGGGAATGGGTAAGGGAAATATTTCTAGCCTTCCACAGTTTTATGTAGATAAGTCATCAAAGATTCATGTCAGAATCCCCTGTATATTTTGAATACCAACTGTTTGGAGTAACAGTTTTATAGGCAGGCATTTTGTAAACTTCTAGCCCATCAGTCAGTGCAGGCTAGAATTGGCTAAAATAGACCAATTTTACTAGTTTAATACAAATACTAAACAATCATGAGCCAAATGTGGTGACACATGCCTGTAATCTGAGGCAAGAAGATCACTCTGAGTTCAAGGCCGGCCTAGGCTACATACTGCCTGGACTACATAGTGAGACTGTGCCTCAAAAAAAGAATGTGGTAAGAATATTTCTTTAGGTTTTTTGTTGCTGAGTGTTTTGGAGTGTGAAACCCAAGCTAAATGCTTCTGAAGTTTAGATGTAAAGGCAGCAGTAATACATGTGCTGAAGTTATTGACTGAAAATTGGACTCCATTGTTTTACTTGGTATCTGTAGTAGGGTTTGGGTTTCTGTTCTTTTTTGTTTTGATTTGATTTTGGTTGTTGTTTTGAACTGCCATATTAACTTGGGCAGTTCAGGAAAATGTAGTTGTATTTTTTTTTTAACATATGATTGATTATGTATATTGCCAAGATAACTAACTTACGGTGCCAAGACGTGATTACATGCTCAGTTTGGTAACTTAGTAAATTAAAGTGAATTCTCTGACCACTTTATTTTATAGTATATGAATTGTCTTTGTTTTCCTTATGTATATTTAGTAACCATTTGAAAAAGTAAACTATGAAGATATTTAGATATTTAGAATATTGTTCTAACCAGAAAACAAAACTTTTTATACAGAAAAAATAACTAGTTTAAGTTAATATTTAACCATTAGAATATCAAATGGAGAAGTTACTTAGATATTAAAAGAACAAGTGGACACTACATGGATTGGCCTTTTCCAGCTTACTCTTTAAATTATTTTCAGACTGAAGCACTCCCTTTCTGGCTTTTAAAATACTCCCTTTATTTTCTCTTAAAACTTTCATCATTTTCCTTTTTCTCCCCTTTTCATTGTAATAGTATTGATTTAATCCATTTTGCACAATTTACTAATTTTGTTTAGCCCTTCTCAATTGTGGTTTATATTAAATAGATCTCCCTGGTCCCGAGTCACTGGATTCCACTACCGTATTAGAAATGCTTGAGTTGTGTAATGAAGGCTGCATGTAGTAGAAGCCCAAGTATAGTTTGCATAAATGAATCCTTTGTTTAAGAGTTACCCTACTTTTGGCTAGCAATCCCGTGTATTACATGGTTGAAGTTGCTGTATTATTTCTCTGACTTACAAGTGTTGTTTTCTACTTGGTTTTGCTTTATGGATGACAGATATATCAGCAGTACCATGCACATCTTTTAGTTGAGTATTTGGTGTTATACTTATGGTGTTAATAATTACAGTAGTCCCTGTTCAGTTTTGGAGAGAACATAGCTGGTTTGACATCATCTCTGCAAAGTTCAGTTCGGGAGCCTCATTAATACAATTGTTCCCCTAGGGCGTTACTTTGTCAGTTGCTAGTCTTAACAATTGATAACTTTTCTCTATTTTGAAAATGAAAACTATATGAATTCACTTAGTGTGAGTACTTGAGTTTTGAAACACTGCTTCTAAGCTAGCCATGTGAAATTTCAAAATAGCGTTTAGTATTTTGAGAAGTTTTTCTTCGAAAAACTTGCTACAAAAATTGTTTATATAGCTTTAACAATACTTTGAATAGAATTTGAAGAACAGTTTTGGCAAAAATAAAAGTAATTACTTTAATCTTGAGTCACTCTAGTCACATAAAAATCATAAATATTCATAGTATTTTAGAAGGAAGGAGTGTGGTAAGTTACAATACTTTGGATCTTTTGATTTCTTTCAGTTTGATGTTTTCCCCCATTGGGGCTGGTTGTCATAGGTATATTTTTTTCCCAGGTAAAATAAATGTTATTTGGAACTGTTTGATTTTTATGGTGGACATATCCTTGTTTGTGGAATAAGTGAACATTATCAGTGGGTTCCAACTGTAAAAGTGGTCCAGTTCTATAGCTAGTTGTCATGAATGTTGAATACATTGCATTAAAATAATTTGACTTACTCTTTTATTACTGTACTTGTTTAGTGGTAACGTCACATTGGTAACAATTCTGTATAGATCTATGGAGACTGATGATCACTTTGTAATTAATAATTTAGGTGCTATTTTCAGACAGTTGCGCGAAACTTTTTCTCCGAAAATTTGTGAACCCAACCAGAGACCAGCCAACAGGTTTAATTTTTCTTTGCCCAAAATGCTCCTGTTTTTTTTTTTCTTTTTTGTGAACAAGTTTTAAAACTAACTGCTGAGACAATTTTTTTTTTAATTTTAGAGAAAAATAAATAAATAAGACAAAGTGATGTTACCCAAGCAAGGCCTTCTAATAAAGGAGTGGTCCCCTCACCCATCCCTCCCTACCTGTGCAAGTCCTGCTCACATCAGTTTCCTTCCATTCAATTAGGCGACCTGGGAGACCCAGCCAGTACCGCCCAGACGGACTTCGGAGTGGTGATGGGGTACCTCCAAGAAGCTTACAGGATGGAACCAGGGAAGGTTTTGGACACTCCACATCACTCAAAGTTCCACTGGCTCGTTCCCTGCAAATTAGTGAAGAATTACTGAGCAGAAACCAGTTGCCCTCAGCTGCCAGCCTTGGGCCATCTGGATTACAGAATCATGGACAGCACTTAATATTATCCAGGGAAGCCTCTTGGGCAAAGCCACATTATGAATTCAACCTCAGCCGTATGAAGTTCAGAGGAAATGGTGCACTCAGCAACATCGGTGACCTTCCTTTTCTTGCAGAAAACTCTGCCTTTCCAAAAATGGCACTTCAAGCAAAACAAGATGGAAAAAAGGATGTGAGCCATTCATCTCCTGTAGATTTAAAGATACCACAAGTTCGAGGAATGGATCTTTCTTGGGAGTCTCGCACTGGTGATCAGTACAGCTATAGCTCTTTGGTAATGGGTTCACAAACGGAGAGCGCGCTTAGTAAAAAATTAAGGGCTATTCTTCCAAAACAAAATAGAAAAAGCATGTTAGATGCTGGACCTGATTCTTGGGGCTCAGATGCTGAGCAGTCTACCTCTGGACAGCCATATCCCACATCGGATCAAGAAGGAGATCCTGGCTCCAAGCAGCCTCGGAAGAAAAGAGGGCGTTACAGACAGTACAACAGTGAGATACTGGAGGAAGCAATCTCAGTGGTTATGAGTGGAAAAATGAGTGTTTCCAAAGCTCAGAGTATTTATGGGATTCCCCACAGTACACTGGAGTACAAAGTAAAGGAGAGGCTGGGCACTTTGAAAAACCCTCCAAAGAAAAAGATGAAATTAATGAGGTTGGAGGGGCCAGATGTTTCTGTAAAGATTGAACTAGATCCCCAGGGAGAGGCAGCACAAAGTGCAAATGAATCAAAAAATGAGTAGGAATACTGTAGAGTGCCAATTACTGTACAAACTGGGTGAGCACTACTGCATCATTGTTCAGCTGTCGTTGCATGCACCAAACTTCATTACTGTGACACTTGTTTCTTTGCAGATTTTGCATTGACTTGTGTGTACAGGGGTGAAAGGTGCATTCTGAATGTTGCATATTTTTAAATTTCCATGTGCAGTATGGCTCGGAATATTGTTTGGCCTTTTGCATGTTTCTCTACAAAAGAGAATTGACTTACCTCACAGAGAACAGATTCATGGAAGTGGACTCCTTGCCTGTAGAGCCTGCATGCTCTCTCCCCCCCCCCCCTTAAGTTATATTTGCCTTTATTTTAAAACAAGAAGAGCAGAAGCCCCCTTTTAGAAAAATCACCTTGTCGTACTGGGAGCTTTATCACTGCAAATTGGAAAGCCATCTTACAAAATTGCTCACATTTTTCTTCTACAATTGAACTAATTGAAGGATTAAAAAATAAGAACAATGAACTTTTGAATTTAAAACTTTTCGTCATTCAGTGATAAATATTTATTTGGGTCATTTGTAATTATATCTTATAATTTTATTCTCACTATTAAATTTACTTAGTAAATTAGCATTTTACTTAGTGCTCACCCAGAGGGGAAAGGAGGTGGGAAATATGCACACACTACCTTCAGAAATGCTTCAGTTAATTACTTTCAACACTACCTTTGCTGTAATTTCATTTGAGATTTTCTAAGAGTAGAGTTTGGTCTCACCAACAAGTGAGGATATAGCCTTATATCATGGAGGACGAGCTCCCTTCTTACTCAGGAGCAGTCAGGGTACATTACATAGAACAATAGAGGATGCTTCATTTTAATAATCTAGTTTTCTTTGTATTTTTCAATCCCTTTACAGAATTGATTATATGCTAACCATTGATTGTTGTTAACAGCAACTAGTTCAAGTTATTCAAGATCTGTTTTTCGGGGAATGGGATGGGAGAAATAGGAAAAGAAATGTGTATAAGAAACTGTGATAATGCGAAAATGATGCTTAGGTTTTACATCCTCATTAGTCTGCCCATTATTCACATTGGAGAAGGATCTAAGTTTGTGGTAAGAAAAAAATTATATAATCCCAGTGTAGCCTAATATGATTTAGGTTGCTTATCAAGTCTAAAAATAATTTAATCAGGAGTTCTTTGGAGTGTCTTCTTTAATCTAAATGTTAGTACAAGTATCTGACAGCTGTTTTTGGATTTTTGTTGATCAGAATTTTTGTTTTCTTGGCATCCTGCGTAATATTCCCATCTTAACTTTTTCTGATAGCTGATATTTATGGTTGATTAGCACACAGGTCAAGACTTTTGAGATCATGTTTGTATAAGCACTCCTTGAAGAGCATTTAGGCTTTTTTTTTTTTTTTTTTTTTTTTTTTTTTGAGATGGGCTTATAAATTTCTAGTGATTAACTTTCAAAAGTTTATTTTCTAGTTTCTGTATGAGTTACTGACAAAGCCCATGGATTTTTTTAT